ATTTTGTGGTAGTGTTTTGCAGGGATTAGAAAGATCTAAGCTGTCAACCGAATTGAAAGAACAACCAAAAGCACTGAATTTATCTAAAAAATCCAAAGAAGTTTTGACACTCCAGAAATGATTAATACTATAATTTTCATATGATTATTTTTTCAGTTAATATCATACTAGTATACATGTTGGAATAGACTGAAATGATACATAATTTGTTTTATCCAATAATGTGAGATAAACAAATAAATTTATAAATCAATTCGACAGTTTATAAATATTAAAAAATCCAATAAAAGTAAGGAAGGAATTTAGGTCTGTTTGATGTAGTGATGTTTATATTTCTTCCGGCATATATTCCATTCCAATACACATAGGAGTGGAACGAGAACTTTTGCTGATGAGCTGTGTTTTAGCATTGTTGAATGGAAAATGATTTTTTTTTACGATCTATAAGACTGTTTTGATATTGTGTTCATTCACCCCAAGTGGCCAAACTATTTATTACATCGTGGAGCATATAGGATGTTAGCTTTTCATTATCACGCCAATAACAGGTGACACCAATAAGTTAACAGAAATAAAAAAATAAATCGGAAAGACTTGATATGGTCTAGACAAATCAAGAGTAATGAAAAATCTGTATAAACAAGCTGGAAACGGATTTTAAACATTCAAAAACAAAGTTTAGAGCAATACGGACAAGAATCCATAGGTTTTTGTGGAAAGCATGCCCCATTCGTAATTCTAAATATTGGAAAACAGGCAATAGGTGTATGCCAGATCTGAAAAGCTTTCATGCGTTACAACTCATCACTACCAAACAGCTGGCTATGTATGAAGCTATGCGTAGTACTTGAGAAAAGTGTGACGAAACATTTAAAGTGCATTCAACATGCTAAAAAATTCAAAGTATTGGCAATCAGGACGTTCGTGTCTGACAACTCCAAAAAGGCTCACACGTTACAACTAATCACTGTCAAGCAGCTGACCAAAAATGAATTCATTCAGTACCTGAAAGATGTATCACCAAATTATGTAACAAACGGGCTGACGGACGTACAATGTGAATGCAATTTAGTGCCATTTCCTAGAATGGGAATATAAAAACAAATGTGGGATGGGTACCAGAGGGGAAATTGCATCCTTATTCGGATGCGAAATTCGACATATGGCTAAGTCATTTACATTTGGATTGAGAATATGTATAAATGTGTGAGGCCTATAGCCATGATAGCGTTATAAATACAATAGATATAAGAAGATGTGGTATGAGTGCCAATGAGACAACTCTCCATCCAAGTCAAAATTTATAAAAGTAAACCATTATAGGTCACAGTACGGTCTTCAACACGGAGCCTTGGCTCACACCGAACAGTAAGCTATAAAGGGCCCCAAATATTACTAGTGTAAAACCATTCAAACGGGAAAACCAACGGTCTAATCTATATAAAAAACGAGAAACTAGAAACACTTATGAACCACATCAACAAACGACAACTACTGAACATCAGATTCCTGACTTAGGACAGGTGCAAACAAATTCAGCGGGTTTAAACGTTTTAATGGTACCAAACCTTCACCCTTTTTCTGAAACAATAGTGTAACATCACAACATAGAAAGACACACTATAAAATATCAACTGAAATAGCTTAACTCAATCAAAGGACATATTAACACCATTGAACATACACTGAACAAATAAATTTGACCTACTGTATATGCACATATTCTACCACATCTCCCAATGTATTACTTTTAGTTAGATAGATAAAGTTAACATTTATTAAACTATCAAGAGTGGGTGATAATTGTAGTCAACGGGGTAATGGTAGAATATGTTTCTTCAATTATTCAAAAACTTATGTCGAGTGCACTGTTCCATATGCATAAGGCGGAAACTTACACGAGAATGTGTGGTTTATCAATCATAAAGTTTAACAAACTGGTTAAAACTGGTTTTATTAAATGTTTAAAGAAAGAACGAATACATCATGCACTTAATGAGACTGATATATAAAAGTGGGAATTCCATTCTCTATTTGTGTCAGGGAAAACCATAACTAGATAGTTATGTCTGCGGTACCCATTAATAAAGGCTCGGCTTAAGAATATTCACTCGTATTTTTGATGTTTAAATGTGATAATTTAATTTCAAAGTTAGCTATAATAATTAGTGATTCATAAACATCCTTGTACCACTTTTTAAAAGTTTGTTAATAAAAAACTTTTGCAAGTTTTGCGTTTGTTCAAAAGTATATCATAATTGCTTTCATCATTGCTCTTGACATTGAAAAAGTAGAGCGTTTAGAGTTTTTACTATTGATATAGTAAACCCATCAATAAAGTACAATGTGTTACAAAGTAGAAACATGTTTACCCATTTACTAAAAATAGGGATACCTCGAACAAAGCTCCTATTAAATTTCCAACGGCCCTTGCAAAATCCATGCTTTACTAAGTGTATTAAAAACCTCAAAAATTTCTGTATATGAAGAAATGTTATAAAAAGTTCAAAAGTACATCATGTGAATAAGATTCTGTTGAATTTCAAAAAAATCAGCCAAGTGGTTCAAGAGCAGTAACTGTTGTGGATATAAAGATTGGACGCAAGGACGAACGAAAGGACAGACAGACTACCCCATCACTATAATCTGCCTGCTTAAGAAACAGGGGTATAACAAGTGAATGTTTATTATCAGTTCTTTCCATTCTCCTAGATTAGACAATTTTATAATACACACTTACACACTTATCTGTTATATGCTGAAGACGAACATATGTTTTTAAACCATATTTATATTTACTAAATATTGCCGTTGCGAGTAAATGACCCAACCATTGAAGATTTTAATGTACAGTGGATGTATTTTGTGGTTACGTTTCTTTCAAATTTCATTGTTTTCCTTTGCGCTATTCATGAAATTCGTATTAGTATTTCAATAGCATAACAGATGTTATAATATTATTTATCACATACTTAAAGAAAATGTAATGAAAATGTCCTATATTTTGCATGGGTAATACAACCGGAAGTAAACAGCCCACAGACCTAGGTTGATTCCGGCTATTATATTTTTACTTAAGGGTTTCTACCGTTCCCAAATGGGCTAAACTATCATGGCTCGATAAAGAGCAAAGAAAAGTTATTATTTTTCAAAGTTGAATGTCACGCCATGGAAATACCAACTTTAACATTGCAACTACGAGTTATATTCAATTAAAATAGTGCATGCTGTACTATAAATGCATTGAAGTCACAGGTACACTCGTCTTTGAAAAAAACTGTCCATACCTACATTACCTTAATCTATATTAAAGTATATATGAATATTTTTTTCAGAGACAAGTGCCTTTGATTGGAGTTCTAAAATGTTCTATGTGTAAATTTTGATTTTCCCATGCTGATGCTGGACAAGGAGTTTTATTTTTTATGTCCCTCAAGGAATCAGTAGAAACCGAATTATACTCTATTATTACTTTTCAGCAAACGCTCTATCTCCACCCAGCGTTAAAAAGTCTGTAGCAAGTGTTCCTTGTGCAACCAGGCTGAGAACCCTTGACCAGGAACATCTCGTGCTCCCTTTTCCTGACGGCTGATACCTTTCCTCGTCAGTTTTAATCTAGCGTCGTAACACAGTACATGATATATAAGGCATGAAGATGTAATTGTCACAGATCAGCTGAATTATCTATTGTAAAGGATCCTACAAATTAATGTAAGATGCAGTCACAGAAATAATTATATTATAAGTACGTCTGAACCAGTGACGACTTTACAACATATCTATATAATTTAATTTTGGATGTAACGCGTCTTCTGATTGGCTGACGTTGTTTTGTTTATCAGCTAATAGACATAATTTTGTCATGTGACCGTGACGTCATCAACGTTTTTTTCATGGTTTACTCAGGTTTAAAATGGAATTTAGAATTAAATTATAAGAAATGACTGTAATATTTTTTCTATCTATGAAGAAATAACATAAAAAATGTGGTGCACACTGAATAACCCGCAAAGTGTGCACCACATTTTTTATGTTATTTCGAATAGACAGAAAAAATATTACAGTCATTTCTTATAATTTAATTCTAAATTCCATTTTAAACCTGAGTAAACCATGAAAAAACGTTGATGACGTCACGGTCACATGACAAAATTATGTCTATTAGCTGATAAACAAAACAACGTCAGCCAATCAGAAGACGCGTTACACCCAAAATTAAATTATATAGATATGTTGTAAAGACGTCACTGGTTCAGACGTACTTATAATATAATTATTTCTGTGACTGCATCTTACATTAATTTGTAGGATCCTTTACAATAGATAATTCAGCTGATCTGTGACAATTACATCTTCATGCCTTATATATCATGTACTGTGTTACGACGCTAGATTAAAACTGACGAGGAAAGGTAACACCCGGCCACCGAAAGCTTTATATTTTGTAGAGCCTAGGTGGTCGAGTGGTTTAGCGCGTCGGGCACAGTGCTAGGCAGTTTGGTGCCACGATATCTCAGTAACATGAGTTCGAATCCCAGCCAGGGAAGAACAAAAAATTTACAGATTTAACATTGTTGAGCTGTTATTTAGACGAATTACTTATAAGTGTAAGATTAACAACAGAAAAATTACTTTTGATAAGTTCGATAATGTTTAAACGGTATAATATTCTCAGGAATCTCCTATCGGACTTTTTTCCTTTAAAATTTAATTTAGATATTTATTACAAAATAAGAAGTTCGGACCTCAATTTGTGACAATGGCGCCAGAGAGGATACACAATAAATACTTCAGAAAATCTTTTGACAAGTGAAGCAAGCTAGACAAAATAGGTGAAAAACATTGATTTTGATATACAGAAAAGGGCATTAAAATGTTTGTCGTATTTAATGTATCGGTGTGTTGATCTAACTGTTTTGAAAATTTTATGACGCAAAACAAATAAAAAGCAGATATTTACAGTAACGCAATATGCTTTCTAGCTCCGCCTCATCTAAATTTAGGCTCAATTACTTTAACCAGGTAAGAGGTTATTGACATGCAGAAGGTTTTTCCAGTTGGAATTTTTGTTTGTTTGCACTAAAGACGTTTTTCACTTGCATACAGTTGCAATCTGAAAATTATCATGGAAAGAATAATGTCAACACTTTGTATTGTCTTTATGGTACTTTTCTCAATTTTACAAGAAGGATGTTCACAAACACAGGTAAATATACTTTTACAAAGATATAGTCTGATAGCTGAAAAGCGATTGCCGGGCGATTACATAATTCAATATCGACATGAAGGTGTTAAATGTTTAAGAATTTATAAATTATGTATTTTTCATTTCAAAATGCAAACACTTATGTTAACATATAAAGATTGTTTAAATTTGGGAGAATTCTTTATTTTGTCGATTATTATTGTAATCACGTTTATATCACCTTTTCTCTTGTTTTCAATAAATATGTACTTAAACTTATGAGTTATTAAAAGTAGTATAAACAAAGTCATTGAATAGGTGTAAAGAATAACTAAAATTGAAAAATAATAATTTCAATATAATATGTATATATAGGAGAGTCTAGAAAGGGTTTACAGAGTAGATAAAAATGGGCCTAAAAATAACGATAAAAAAAATTAAAGAAATCAGAAAAATGCCCCCCCCCCCCCCCAAAAAAAAAAATTTAAAAATTAAAAAACACCATCCTTCCCTCTCATCTAAGACCCTCATCATGACAGGTAATTCTTACATTAAAACCTCCATCCAGTGACTCATTTTGGTCACTCTTTTGGTACTTTCTGTTAATTGCACCACCGCTATCACTACCCCATCCCGTCTTAGGTTCAGTGCTGAATTATTTTTTTCCTTAATGAATGTGTCCCATTTTCACTTCCCATATTTTACTTTAAACGTGATGAAATTGATATTTCACAATGAGACAGTTCAATGTTTTGAAGTACAAACATGTGTCAAAAATTGTCTCCTCGACCTTTCTCACGCAGAAACCGAAACTGATTATATGTAATTTTCCTCTAAATGCATGTTAATCTCACATGCATACTTTGTAACTGGATTGTTAAATTAGTTTGCTTCAGTTATCACGCATAAATACATGTATAATAGACTTATGATATTAAAATCCGATCACTGTGTAATATGACAGTTGATCTGGATATTCACAAGGATATGCATACCAATCCGAAACATTAGATGCTTGAAAATGTAACACAATTAGTTATTTCTTTAAAGAAAAAAGGTCGAGTTTTCCAACTTGAAAGCTTCAGTTTTCGAGTTTAGATAATATGCACAAACGTGCTAATGTTTATGTAATAATTGTATGCTACTGCATATGTGGGAGTGTCTACATCTTGAATTGTCATTTGCCTTTTTAAGTAAAACTTCAAAGAAGATCAAGAAATGACATTCGACCCCAGCTTCCAACTTCTGAATAAATTTTTTAAATAACATCGCATAAACATTTAATTGAAAAATTTATTCGTTTTATTGATTTGAAAAAGGGGTGTAGAAACTTTCATACATTTTCCGATAAAAAAAATAGCATACTGTTTTTAACTTTCCTCTGTTCTCGAGGCAGACGACATTTTTCCATCACATGCAGTACGTCGTCCGTACATAAGCTTTTCGAATTGTTATCTTAATCTTGAGAAACGCCGTACAGAATACTAGTATGAGCACACTTGGTAGATTTGTTATACAAAATCTTTTCGGAGTGGTGTAACTTTGAAGTCCAGTTGTCAACAAGCATGGCCTACAAATTACTCCAATCATATGGAGGTGTACTTACATATATTCTTGTCTAGCCTAGAAAAAAAAACGTATGAAATTGGGTTTTAAGCTAGCTTTCAGCAAATCGAGTACTATCAGGTCGGTAAGGATTGTCAAGTGTCAATTTGTTTGTTTGTTTGTTTGTTTGTTATTTTGTGCTTTGTACCGATCAGATGAATTTTCTAGTAGTTTCTTTTCAACTGTATCGTACCGTCTGTTCCATTGTTGTACAGTAAAACACAGTAAAGTGAGGATTGAACGTTTCAACAGCGACTGGTTTCAAAGCGGCATGCTCAACACAATGTCACACTGTATTGACTTCCCAAATAACACAAGAAACAGTATGAGTTTCGTTATGTACAAATGTATCTGAAGTCAGTAAATCGTCATGTCCATATGCTTTTGTTCTTCTTTGCCTTTAGAACCGATATGGAACTCGATAAAACAAACTATTTCTTGAGTGTGCAAAACACTTAGAAGTCTTCGATTAGTTATCATACTCCGCTGAAGGTCAGTTTGTCTCCGTTTTCAGTTATTGTTGATTTCTTTACTCTGTATACTTTCCTACCAATCAATCTTTTACAAAAGGATTTTTTTATTTGCTGTAATAAAATCAAGGGCGTAATTCGGTTTTATCGAGGACTCAGTCCGTTGATTTACGTTTGTATGACGTTACATAGTAGAAAAATCCGTTGATCGAGTATGCTACAGGTTCGTTAGTGTTAATATGTAAAATTTTGCTCAATTTTGTAGAATAGTTTTATTTACTCTTTTTCATATTCTTTTTGAAAAATTCCATTGGGTATATGGCCCAGTGTTACAAAAATAACCTTTGTGAAGGGTCAAATGTGTGTTATCTCTAGATAAAGTAGAGATGCTAAAAAAACTCATTTAAATCTCATCACTCTCTTTTAGAAAAGTAACAAACAAAAAAAAAACATTAAAGGAGCTGAAATCAGTAACGGTGAAATTCAAAACTTGACACAAACGCTAAAGAAACGTGATGTGATAAATTGATAAATCTGAATAAAGAATGCAAACTACTACATATTTTCATAAAATTACTAATACAATGTCTGTTGGTGAGTATCATAACTTTAACTTAGTCCGTTGATAATATGTAACCAATAAACTTTAAATTTCATAAAAAAAATTATCCAATTCTTTTTAAATGTAAAATGATGAAATCAGCCAATAACAAAGGAAAACATAAAACATTTGCATCGTAGGAGATACATAGTATTGACAGTCTTGCAAGCTATATATATTCTACTGCTGGTGGACGTTTCGTCCCCGAGGGTATCACCAGCCCAGTAGTCAGCACTTCGGTCATTTTTATAAATTTCCTGTTTACAAAATTTGAAATTTTTCGAAAAACTAAAGATTTTCTTATCCCAGGCATAGATTACCTTAGCCGTATTTGGCACAACTTTTTGGAATTTTGGGTCCTCAATGCTCTTCAACTTTGTACTTGTTTGGCTTTATAACTATTTTGATATGAGCGTCACCGATGAGTCTTATGTAGACGAAACGCGCGTCTGGCGTATTAAATTATAATTCCTGGTACCTTAAATAACTAATTGCATTCATGGTTTTAGTCATTCTGTGTGTTTGTTTAGGTCTGGGTATGCAAAATTTGTTCCCCAGAACATAAAAAGAGCCAGTTGACAAGGATCGTAATTTGTAGGCACATACCCGTTGACTTATTTTTAAGACTTTGAGGTTTATGAAAAGCCAGTACGGATAGCTTTAGGATAGATCTTGGATAGTTGAGGATGCTTTTCTATTTTTATCCAATTTTCGTATAATGTGTGACAATGCATTTAAATTTGGACGGTAGGGAACCACCAGACTTATCAAAAAACTGTTTTATGTTTTGTTTACTGACCCATTCTTCAATATACTACTTATTATAACTTGTACTGTAAAAGTCCATCTTGGCGGATTCTAATGCCATTATCAATGTTATTTTTCTTTCTGAAACCCTGGCTGCAGACAATGCCTTTCGTACAGTTTTACAAATAAAAATCGTAAGAGAAAGATATTGGTGATTGTCATTTGGGTTGTAATACAAAATTGTCAACATGATCATCTTCCTATCTTGAGTAGTAATGTCAAGCAATGTGATCTAAGAGGCACATATTTCATAACGGAATTATATTAGAGGATGGGCGTTGATGAAAGAAAATATGTAATACCTACATATTAAACAGTTGGTAGTCTATAAGAAAGCAAACCTCACAATCCATACTTAAAAAAACTTATCAACTGGTTATCTAATATGGCAATATCCAAATTCTTCAAAACTGTTTTAATGATTTCAATATAATGTTATCTTGGGTAATGGTTTGAATTTATTTTTTATAATGCTATTATTTCAAAACAGATACATGTAGGGCGATGGTTTGTTTAAATTGTTGATTGGGAAACCTCATAGATTTCTCTTTAATGCCTGAATTTTCAACAAATTATAAAGTTATGAAGACATACACAAACTTTTATAATTTTGCCATATGTATATTTCATTATAAAATATATTGTACAATTTTTAGTACAATAAAAATATCAAATTACTTTCAAAAGTTTCTTAGATAGAAATAAGAAGATGTGGTATGAGTGCCAATGAGACAACTCTCCATGCAAGTCACAATTTGTAAAAGTAAACCACTATAATAGGTCAAAGTACGGCTTTCAACACGGAGCCTTGGCTCACACCGAACAGCAAGCTATACAGGGCCCCAAAAATTACTAGTGTAAAACCATTCAAACAGGAAAACCAACGGTCTAATCTATATAAAAACAAGAAACGAGAAACACTTATGAACCACATCAACAACGACAACCACTGAACATCAGTATAATCAACATGAATGGATCCATACTACTCTGATCAACGGATTGTCCCATGTAACTCTTAAAAATAGTTTTTCGATAAGTCTGGTGGTTTCTATTATTATATTAGTTGCCGTCTTTTAGTTTTCAGTAATGAAATATTTAACTTTAATATTGTAAATCAAGTATAACCATTAATGTCCTATGTTTGAAGATTTATTCCTTATTGCTTCCTCAATTTATGGCAAATCTTCATAAACACCCATTTAATAGACTTGTTTTAACACTACATACAGATAGTTAAGATGATATATACTCTGCAAACAACCCAGGACATCATGCGTAACGTGATTAAGTTATAATTTAATATCAACTCTTCTTAACTATGAAAAAGTATAGACACTTTGAATTATTATTTTTTTAAATTCTGGAAACAGAATAGAATAGAGAATAGAAACGGGGAATGTGTCAAAGAGACAACAATCCGACCAAAGAGCAGAAAACAGTCCAACATAAATTTCATATTTGTTTTACGTTCATTGTTTTGTACATACATCAGGTCGTTACTTTTCTTGTTTGAATTAATTTACATTTGTCATTTCGGGGCATTTAGCTTACTATTCGGTAAGGATTTTGCTCCTTGTTAAAGGTCATATGGTGACCTCTACTTGCTTTCTTCTACGTCACATGGTCTCTGGTGGGGAGTTGTCTTATTGGCAATCATACCACATCTTCTTATTTTTATATAAGAGACTAGAACACGGGTCCGTGACTGATTTAAAGTTCCTACATGTACGCCTTATTTTCATCCTGGATTTTTAGTATTCGTATTGTCATTTGATAAAGTCATGCTGATTATAAGGTGCACAGTGTTCTCTGCTTTCAAAATCTTTATGTATGAATCCCGCCTGGTTTTCTTATTACAACCGGAAACTACTAGTATATATATATATTTTTGTCAATGATTGAATTTAGTAGTGCCTATCCCTGTATAATGACGAAGTTCCGATGTGATTATGACTCGTGTATAGCAAATCCCAAATACACCGTTTGGTGGTGCGCCAGACAGAGACGGAAAGTACAGATTAGGTAACAGGTAACAGTCACTATTGGTATCGGTATCGGATTCGACCCGGAACTAAGTCTTATTAATTATTGGTAATATTAATGTTCTCTCACTAAATGATACAAAATTTGGTGACTATGTTGAACAAATCTATCCCATCTAACTAGCGATAAAGGATACTACAGACACAGTTAAGTCTGCCTCATATCTTGACTTACATCTAGAAATTGACAATGAGGGTCGGTTGAAAACAAAACTTTACAACAAAAGAGATGATTTCAGCTTCCCAATTGTGAACTTTCCATTTCTATGTAGCAACATTCTAGCAGCGCCTGCATACGGAGTATATATCTCCCAATTGATACGATATTCCCGGGCTTGTATTTCCTATCATGATTTCCTTGATAGAGGATTGGTGCTCACAAGGAAGCTATTAAACCAAGAGTTCCAAATGGTGAAGTTGAAATCATCCCTTCGTAAATTTTACGGACGACATCACGAGTTGGTTGACCGTTATGGAATAACCGTTTCACAGATGATATCAGATATGTTCTTTATGTCGTAACTACAATACCCTTCCCTTTTCACGAATGTGACCTACCGAATTAGACTTTTTACCGGGTTTGTAATATCACGACGGGTGCCACATGTGGAGCAGGATCCGCTTACCCTTCCAGAGCACCTGAGATCACCCCCAGTTTTTGGTGGGGTTCGTGTTGTCTTTAGTTTTCTATGTTGTGTCATCTGTACTATTATTTGTCTGTTTTTCTTTTTATTTTTGGCCATGGCGTTGTCAGTTTGTTTTCGATCTATGAGTTTGACTGTCCCTCTGTTATCTTTCGTCCCTCTTTAATTATGTGGAAAACAAACGAAGGGCCGGGAATGGTGTAATTTTTAATCAACACCATTGTCCTATATCAGTTATATATAAAGTTGAATTCTTTGATTCGTCGTTTTTACGTCATGACGGCTAACAAATTGGATCTCGTTATTTTAGTAGTTTAGATGTTTAAACTACAGAAAAAATGAACCTATCTCAACTCAAACAACAGTGACCTACTAGTAAGTCTTTTTTATGCCTTGGTATTATAATTTCTTATTGATATCTTCATACGAACCTTTTAGAACTTGTCTTTCCTATTGTTTATTTTCCTTTCCTTAAAAGTGATTTCGGTTGGATACTTCTGATTAAATGTACATTTTTATGTGGTTTGATATACCCCTGCAGGGAAATCCTAAATGTTGTAATTACAAAAAAATCTTTAACGACAGTGATTTTGATATCAGAAATAAATTAAAAAATTACTAAATTTAAGTATCACACAAAAAGAGAATTATGCTGAACGTATGATTTCGCCTCCAGGAATTTAATAATAAAAGTTGTTATTCACATCCAACTTTTAACGGTTCATCTAACAGTTATGAAGAAAACATGTTTAGAAATTGTCCTTTAAATGTTTCTTTTTCCACTAGACTTATTGATAACTGGTTAAAATCAGACTGTTGTTACTGTAATGTGTTTTTGTTTTTGTTTTTCTGCTTTGTTTGTTTTGTTTTGTTTTTGGATTTTTAAAATTTTTAGGAGGAGGGGGTTATTACCGATTCAATATATAGTTTTAAGCAAGGCTACATGTAATATGGTTACTGTTTTTCTGCATTTAAATTCCATACAATTTTTCACATTATTCTATAAGACTATTTTCCTGTACTGGTATGGAATCTTCTATTAATACAGCAACCAACATTAGAATGTATGATGACAATTGCCTGAGATCACCCCCAGTTTTTGATGGGGTTCGTGTTGCTCAGTCTTTAGTTTTCTATGTTGTGTTTTGTGTACTATTGTTTGTCTGTTGGTCTTTTTCTTTTTAGCCATGGTGTTGTCAGTTTATTTTCGACTTATGAATTTGAATGTCACTCTGGTATCTTTCGCCTCTCATTTGTTTATGATACCGTTATTTTAGAATTAAGTTCTTGCTGATCCATTTTGTACGAAATATTGATCTTACTGAAAAGAAGTTCACCAGTACTGTTTGAAACAGACATTTAAATACAAAATTATAGTTGTTGTAATATTTTATCTAGTCTAAGATATTCACTAATCAGTATAATAAGATGTTTTATCTGAAACAAAAATATGAACTTTTGATATTTTTACCTGAGACTGTCAAAAACTTACCAGTTAGCGGACTCGAATTAAACAAAAACACATCTGTGACCTTACAAGTTATTTTTAACTGCCTGAGATTTTTCTTTTATTTATGCAATTGATTTGTATTGGAAAATTTTGTAGCCGGATGAAAAAAAGAAAAAAGGTGTTGGTAAAGAAGGCGGAGGTTTGTATAGAATAAAATGTATTCTTAATGTATCCCTTTTATTTAGTAAAGTATCTCGAGAAACATATTCAGTAGATGTAAGGGGTCTCGGTGGACGAGTGGTCTAAGTAGTCGAACTACTGTATCACTAGCCTGTCAACACTGAGGTTGTGAGTTCGAATCCGACACGTGGAAGGTGCGTTTGACTCCAATCTTAATTGACTAGGAATGTCAGTTTTCAAACCGAAGGTCGGTGGTTCTCTCCTGGAACTCCGGCTTCATCTTAGACTACCAATAAAAACTGACCGCCACGAAATAGCGCAATAGTGCTGAAAGTTGAATTAAACACCAATAATTCAATCAATCAATCAATCAGTAGATTAACATGTCGTCTTATTCACGCGTTAATGAAATACATTTGAATTAGTACAGTATTTTCACATTAAATATTACAAATCTTTATGTACCAGAATTTCGACATTAATAGTCTTTACTCTTTGTTTTCAGAGTGACTAAGGGTACATGTAATATAATAATCTGGTAATCTCTTTTTTTTTAATTTATATTTTCGTGTTTTAATTAACCACAAAGTAATAAAAATTTCTCATCCGGAGTGAGGGTAAACACTATTCAGCATGAAGTCAAAATAATGTGTCGTGGTGGGGTGACATGTCTATCTTGGTACTGTTACCTGATGAACTAACACATTAAAATCCCGACTGTGTCTAAACTACCCCGGCAAAAAATGTTTGGACTCGATGGTATCTAATATCCGGCACGGTGACGGAACATCAATAGACAGAGAAAAGGTAGGTTTCTGTTTATTAATTTGTTATTTTTATGATATCGAAGAATATATATACATATATAACTATTTTCACTTTTGTGAGATGTAATATATTCTACAACCTTTCTATGTTAACGGAGAAATAAGTAAAAATGCACGTCAAAATGACGAATTAAGTGAACCTTGCCTCGAATTTGTTTAATATCTCGTTAAATTGTTCACATTGTACGGAAAGAAAGGTACAGAAAGAAAGATATTGACATGGAGATTCCAAAACTAGCCACTTTGATCACCTCAATACTTCAGTATTTCTGTGTATGGAACGAAAGAAATAGGTCATGTCAAAATGGAAGGAGCCGGTTTTGTCAATGTTGTTTACTACAAAATCACCCGGTTTTGTCTATGTTTATGACCCGGTTTTGTTTTGTTTTGAAACCAAAATTTATGAAAAGCAACGTTAACACGGATCTAAACATTGTCCATCGATAGAATTTCAACATATATGTTATTGTAAAACAACTTCACTTGCGTTTTTTCAACAAAAATAAATACTACATATTATTTATAGAAGAGTGTACGCACTGACATGTAGCGACTGCTTGAATGATCGTAATTGAATCTATTTTGAAGATCTGTAAGATAAATAATTTAATAAAAGTATCACATAAACTTAACATTGTTCATGGAACCATAAAAAAGTCAAGGTCTAATGAAACCTGCCAGACGGACATGAACACATTACAATCATTAAAACCAAAAAATAAAAAAAATAAAAACTTAATATTTACCAATTAATCAAGAAAATAAGTTCAAGGTCACATTAATAGTCATGTGGCCATATGAGCAAATATAGTTGACCTATTACTTATGGTATTAGAGATACGGATTTGTGTTACATATTTGTTTTTCATTCATTTTTTTGTACATTAATTAGTCTATTAGTTTTCTCGTTTGAATTGTTTTACATTTGTGATTTCGGGGCCTTTCATAGCTGACTATGCGGTATGGGCTTTGCTCATTGTTGAAGGTCGTACGGTGACCTGTAGCTATTAATTTCTGTGTCATTTGGTCTGTTGTGGAGAGTTGTCTCATTGGCAATCATACCACATCTTCTTTTTTATATTGAACACACGAAATGTTAACCTTGATCATGGATATCAATCATTATCAGTGTGACATTCACAGCTATTCATTTTGTTGGGAAATCGCTGAACTATGAAAATGAGGTCAAGGGCAATGGACATATGACAGATAGAAACATCGTAAGATAAAAGATCTGTGTGCGAGGTATGTTGCAGCCAGGCCTTCTAACTTCTGACATATGAAGCTCCATACAAATAGTTCAAGCCGCCACGAATTTGCATCCTTTGGTTTCGTATTTCGACAATTTTAAAATATCAATGTGAATTTTTAGAATAAACATGATAATCCTACTCACATACATCCAATTTCGCGGGTGTCCCTGTTTTTTTATTTCTTATAAAATTCTAAGTTGGTATACGATTTAGTTATATAATATTAGTGACCAATCCAGGCGGCGTATAGGTCGCACGCCCCCACCCCAACTTTTGATGGCCCCATAAAAATTAAATCATGTTTTTTACGATTTTTTTAGCTTAAAATCGTCCACAAAATTGTTCGCCTCGCTACGCTCGGCGGTATGTAAGTTGTTTGAATTATGCCCACTATGTAAAAACCTAAATCCATCCCTATATATTGTTAATAATTTATTGACCAACGTCAATGTACGATAATCATAACACAATGAAGAAATAACTGTTTATTTATAGAACTTTGAATAAGATAATCATTATTGCATTTACTTGATGGCCTGAGACTATCGTACAAATTTACACTTAGTATTATCCTTTTCTCCCCCATAAACATTTATTTTCTATGGCGATTCTGCATGCATATAGGTGTACTACCACCATTGATTTTCCCCTATTAGTCTTTGTTAAATTTGCACTTTTCAAAAATTTGTGCAGAATTTATCTTTGTTTCAAATAAAGAAATACTTGGCATGAGTTAAGTTTTATCCTGTCCAGTACTATAGAAAAAATTTCACATAACATTTCAGTGCATATAAGAAAATAACCATCACTGGAAGTAAACCAATAAATTTTCACCTCTTTTTTATCTGTGTACAAGCTTTAGTAACCATGTAACCTCAAGTTTCTAAAATATTCTATTGAAATACCCAAGATATATGTTTATGACCCAGAAATGTTTTACTGCAATGAAATGTAGGATTAATTACCTACAACTGTCAAATTCAAGGGAATATTTTTTTCGACCTATTTTCGTATGCAACCGGATGTACTATGATTTGGTGATATTACACCTAAACATTTGTCTTCTTATCATGTCTTATAATAGACACTTAGCCTGAAGAAGATTTATTTTAAACGATTATAGGAAAGAGGGGTGAAAGATACCAGAGAGACATTCAATATAACACTCCCTGGTAGATTGGATTACTTATAAAGGTAACCATCCTGTTGTGCAAGAAAATCACATATCAAATGTGCGTGTTTCAATTTTTATGACCGTAAACTCTAATTTCAAGTTTGATCACTTAAATTTACATATTTCATAGAAAAAAAGTATAGAGAACTTAAATCTCAATTTGCGTTATAACCTTCATTTCTATTTTGCAGTTAAAGTTTTTTTTTTTTTTAAATGCAAAGCAAAATTATAATTATTTTTGTTCCAATAAAGTAGGAATTCCAGTGTTTACAGATTCAAATAAATAATAAGTTGTCCTCTGAAAGAAATCGTTTTCCAACAAGCCACCAGACTCCTTTTAAACGCCGAAGTTCAATTATGTTATGCGATTATGCATTTTTTTTCTTTGACAAAACGGGGTTCTGCCCTGTGAAATCTAGGACAAAACCGGGTTGTACACATTGACAAAACCGTCTCCTTCCATTTTGACATGACCCATTTCTTTCGTTCCATACACAGAAATACAAGTATTGAGGTGCTCAAAGTGGCTAGTTTTGCAATCTCCATGTCAATAACTTTTTCTTTCCGTATCTTTCTTCCTGTACAATGTGAACAATTTAACGAGATATTAAACAAATTCGAGGCAAGGTTCACTCAATTCGTCATTTCGACGTGCATTTTTACTTATTTCTCCGTTAATCTAGAACGGTTCTAGAAAATATTACATCTCACAATAGAAAATAGTTATAATGTATATATATTCTTCGGTATCATAAAAATAACAAATAAATAAACAGAAAACTACCTTTTCTCTGTCTATTGATGTTCCGTCACCGTGCCGAATATTAGATACCATCGAGTCCAAACATTTTTTGCCGGAGTAGTTTAAGCACAGTGGTGTCAGTCCAGTACAAGGTAAATTGTTGATTTTCTTGTTCTCGTCCTGAATATGCATTTCATATTTGCCAATGGACGGTACATAGCCTTCCATACATCCGTTATTCAGCATATCTGTAGTTCTTGTCACTTATAACGATTCTTAAAAATTATATTTAAAAATTTCTTGATACTCATATGATGCAGTGGCTTCAATTATATATTTATTTTACAATACAGGCGGAGGTGACCCCCATTTCATGCTTAGAATTGACAGTCTTGATTTTCCAGTGTGTTTCGACATTGATGCACGTGAAGGGGATGTCATTCGGATGCTAAAAGATCCAATTTCAGGTGAATGATTTAAAAATGTTAAGGCTTTTTTATATTTTATTTCTTTATTATTATAGTAATTATTGATTTTTTTTTGCAGGACAAGATGTGAAACAATGTAAAAAAGAAAACGAAAACGAAAGGTTAAACTTATTCTAAAATCAATTAACAAGACAAAAAAATATCAAACCGGAACCAAAGACAACCACTGAATTAAAGTCCATGACTTTGCACAGACATATAAAGAATGTGGCTAGGTTAAACATGGATAAAATTAAAAGAATCCCCGTATTAAAAAGAGAAAAAACATGATTAAAATATAGCTCACATGTTAAACATGTTCGATGGTCCATAAAGAGGGACATAATTAAAGAGGGACGAAAGATACCAGAGTGACAGTCAAACTCACAGATCGCAAACAAACTGACCACGCCATGGCCAAAAATAAAAAGACAAACATACAAATAATTGTATAGATGACACAACATAGAAAACTAAAGACTAAGCAACACGAACCCCACCAAAAACTGGGGGTGATCTCAGGTGCTCCGGAAGGGTGAGCAGATCCTGCTCCACATGTGGCACCCGTCGTGTTGCTTATGTTATTACAAATTCGGTACTAAGGTCACATTCGTGAAAAGGGAAGGGTATTGTAGTTACGACATTTGGAAATATCCGATATCATCTGTGAAACGGTTATTCCATAACGGTCAACCAACTCGTGATGGCGTCCGTAACGAAGAGATGATTTCAACTTTACCATTTGGAATCTTGGTTTAATAGCTTCCTTGTGAGCAGCAATCCTCTATCAAGGAAATCGTGATAGGAAATACAAGCCCGGGAATATCGTATCAATTGGGACATATATACTCCGTATGCAGGCGCTGCTGGAATGTTGCTACATAGAAATGGAAAATTCACAATTGGGAAGATGAAATCATCTCTAACTAATACATAATATGTATGTCTGATAAGTCAGATCATTGTTGCTGGTATATTTAGTTTGAGGTTTTTTTCAATCGTTGAAGGTCGTACAGTGACCATGGACAGTCATTTCTTAAACTTTGATTATTGAATTTCTGTTATATCATTCAGTTTTCCATACATTGTTATGATTAAAATATAGTCATGTAAAATAAGATAACAAAATAGTCAATATCTATATTTATTTCTTATATCTATATTTATCGACAGGTATTACAATAAATGGTGGCATTGTTGGATCAAACAAGAAAAAAGCGGACGGAAGTTCCAAGACTTTCATTGGTGAACTTTTTCTACAAACACGTAATGTTGAGATCCACATCAAGCCAGACGACATTACTTTCAATGGCGCATCGTTAGCTTGGAATGAAGAACATGTCTTTGAAATGAATAATATAAAAATAAACTTTAATGGAAATGGACACCATGGCAATACAATGTACATAGAACTTGGAAATGACGTCAGTATGGAGATTCGTCGACTCATGAAGGAAGATTCGGGTCTGAATGTCAACTATTTGAATATGAACATAGACAAAGAAACAGGAATTTCGGATAAAGCAGAGGGTATCTTGGGTGTGTATCAATATTTACATGTATTTGATTTAATATCTTTTATGTATTTATTACAATTGACTTGAATTTGATATCAACGCTCGATTTTTGTTATACATAGCCCTGGTATGAATGACCTGTTTAAAAGTGACTATTTTTTGTTGTCCTAGCAATGCAAATAAATAAAATTCTTAGCCAACATAAACTTCATGTGGGATATGAACAACTGTTTCAATATCCAATATGTAAAAAACAATGTTTGTTAAAAATTCATTCCTGTTTGAAATTTAGACAAATGTCTTAAGATTTTTTTTTCATTTGTCGTATCAATAAGCAATAAACAAGAAAAAGGAAAATAACTCCAGTTAAAATATGCGTAAACGGCATTCAGCGTAAATGTCGAGCATCAGAGAAATTTAAAAGTAAAAGTAAGTAAATATTGAGAGATTGCTGTGAGCCCACTGGTAATTTATAGAAAATCGAACACTGCGTTTGAAAATTCCCAAATTGCCCCTTGTACAGACACGTTTTGAATAAACGTAAAAGACCAAATAATATCTAATACTATAAATAAATTCTTGATGAACTTTCCCTCCAATCAAGAGTCTTAATTCTTAAAACTGATAGATGTCTTTTGAATTGTTTGTAGTTTGGTAGCTGTGTCATTTATTTAGTTTATTTAAGGATGTTCGCTCCTCTTGGTTTTAAATTTTTGCCAGATATTCGGAATCCTCTGGCTTTATCCATGCAGTGCCATTAAAAAATATTTGCCCGCTAACCCCTACTTTTCTGTTTATAATTTTAATACATATAGTTTAAAAAGCCATATTTGAAAATGTTATAAAATCCTTGTTATTTTTTCATAGTTTTTGAAAGAAAAAAAGTGCCAACGTTAAGTATATGGAAAATATAGAGAGAATCATTCCCCGCCAAATTTTCAATGGCTTATATCTCAAAAACAAGCTCACTGACCTTTCATTTTTTTCTGCTTTTTTAGTTCCTTTATTTACATACTATAAATTTATAACAGTCTTTTAAAAAGCTTGTTATTTTAAAACAGAGAAGTGAACATTTAATGTATAGCAATTCAAAAAAAATGTAAGAGGACTGTACTTAGTCCACATCGCAATCCTAATCAATAGCTTAAAAATGTTTTATCGCTTAAATCAACTTAAATATAATCAATAAAAATAATTATTAATAATCTTCAATTTACTTATTTCATTGGTAGGGCAAAACTTCGATTTAAAGTACTAATCATTGGCTGCTTTAATAGAACAAGACACGAAATCAAGTAGCTTGGATTTGGAAGTTATAGTAATGTTTTGCAACAAACCGGTCAATATTTAGAAAGATAGAAAGTAATAATACTAATGAGGTATAAATGAGAACACTTCTTAGATTTGGTTTGAAGTTTGGCTGTACCTGTAGAAAACTTATTTCAAACGGGATAGCACGTCCTAATTTTTATGGAGATGTTGTTTACCGAGCCCGAAAATTTAGATACGATCCTGGTAAACTTATCGATCATTTAAATACATTTATTCTAAAAGGTTACCAATTCAACATTGTAATAAGTTCTTTGAATATTGTTTTATTGGTAAAGATATTGATTTTTGTTTTCATTAAATTAAAATCAAACGAAATATTATTTTTATATACATATGTACATTCATAGCTATACAATCTCGATACCAGGATTGCGTTCAATACCGAAGCAGCTAGTATAGCCTCTATGTTCTAGATATCTATCTATGTTGAACAATATATTAATAGTTAGGCTATCCAAATGACGTCATTAATAATAATCTATCGGACGCCATTTTGGATTCTCTAGATAGCATGAATTGTTTATGCTATCTAGATCTATTTAGCGGCTAGGCTAGCTATACGTTCACTAGTCGAAATCTACGTAGCCCTACGTCGCAGCTATGATATTGAACGCACCCCTGTATCTTGGCATTGCACAAGGTCATGTTTTTATCTGACTGTCAATGACGTCTGTACATTTAATCTATTGGATGTTGGATGTGTACTGATTGATTTTTTAGTCTTAGATACATGATATTTTTATTAGTTGTTATTGACTTTGAACTAGCTGTCAGTAACTGTGAGTACTCTCAGATCTGTACTTTGTGTCTTTTTTTGTGGGGATGTATAAATAGCCTGCCACGTCCGGTCTGTGTTTTTGTTAGATGTTTTTCTGCTTTGTATCGATCTGATGAGTCAAGCTTTTTTCAACTATTTTTATAATGTTTTTTTATGCTGTACTGTTACACCACTGTCCCAGGTTTTGGGGAGGGTTTGGCGCCAACAAACTAGTTTAACCCCGCCACATTCTGTATGTGCCTGTCCCAAGTCAGCAGCTTATAATTCAGTAGTTGTCGCTTGTTGTTGTATATCATATTTATTTTTCGTTCATTGCTTTGTACACTAATCTGGCATTTAGTTTTCTCGTTTTTTCCGTTTGAATTGTTTTACATTTGTCATTTCGGGGCCCTTTATAACTGACTGTGCGGTATAAGTTGTGCTCACTATTGAAGGCCGTACGGTGACCATATTTTTTAACTTCTAAGTCAGTTAGTCTCTGTTGGACAGTTGTCTCATTGGCGATCTTACCACATCCTTTTATTTCTATATTAACAACTCCACTTTTTATACATATAGGTCAATTTGTACACAAAAGGACAACGCTGAAGAAGATCAGCATTGACAAGCAAGGCAGAAAACGTGGCCATTTCAGAGAGATTGAAAACGGACATAAAACACATTTTAAAGCAATTTTACACCAGCTGCCAGATGTTATTACCGGCGAAATGGTCTGGTGTTGGAATGTCCACAGGAGAACAGAAGGACTGCTTGATGGTCATTTGAGCGAATACTTTGCTTCTGATATTACTTCCGCATAAAGAAAAAAAAGTCTCATGATTTCATGCATGCGTAGTACTGTGAAACTAGCATGATAATGTCCTCAAACTTTAAATATCGTTTGACTTTTTTAGTTGTTCCTTATTATGAAAATACTAGTACTTTAGTTTTCGAGATCTTTAAATTGTTCAAGAAATTCATAATATTGATCTATAATAATTATTATATCAATTTACATGTACATTGTTCAAAAATTAAACACATTGTTAAACTGCATGTAAATATATATGAAGGACAAATTTTGAAAAAATCATTGCAAAAAGAAATATTTAAATACTTACCAGTATTCATACGAATTCTTGCACAGTATCAAGTGAGACGCCACACTCCTCAACTCAAGACGATGAACATTTTCAAATTTTCAATATTTGTAATTACTTATATCTTAAAAAATGTCTTCCTTGTTCTAACAATTCGGCATGATTGCTTCATATCTTATGCTACATGGCGAAATTTATAAACGGCATGGACATCTGGGTCCATAATTGAAGAACTTAGGAAATACGACCCGTTTATGGTTTTTGAAATTCATTGCCGTTCAAACAAGATTTTTTTTATTTGCATCGGCTTCGAAGATAGATTTTGTAGGAATTGTTCAAGTACATGTATGTATGGTTTCATTCTGCTTAATATTTGTATAAATTGTATGTAAAAACTGTATATAATACTATTCAAATTGTGTTTCTCATTAAAATTATTTTTTAATAAATTTTCTATTTTTCAATTTTGCTGTACATCTGTACGTACAATTAAGTTTTTATTTTTATTTCTTTTCTTTTGTACAAAACTTAATCCTCCATCAAATGTAAGTAAAATGAATTTGGGATCCCCTGCATCAATTTATTGTAGACAACAAGGCTAAATTTAAATAGATATTAAAAGATATGGTATGAGTGCCAATGAGACATCTCTCCATCCAAGTCACAATTTATAAAAGTAAACCATTATAGGTCAAAGTACGGTCTTCAACACGGAGCCTTGGCTCACACCGAACAGCAAGCTATAAAGGGCCCCAAAAATGACTAGTGTAAAACTATTCAAACAAGAAAACCAACAGTCTAATCTATATAAAAAACGAGAAACGAGAAACACTTATGAACCACATCAACAAACGACAACTACTGAACATCAGATTCCTGACTTAGGACAGGTGCAAATAATTGCAGCGGGTTTAAACGTTTTAATGGTACCAAACCTTCACCCTTATCTAAAACAATAGTGTAACATCACAACATAGAAAGACACACTATAAAATATCAATTGAAATGGCTTTACTCAATCAGAAGACATATTAACACAAGTGAACATACACTGATCGAATAAATTTAATCTATGATACAATGTAAATACAAAATCAATAAAATAAGGGATGAATAATTAAAGTAACAGTAGTATACCGCTGTGAAATGTTAAACAATTTCAGAAAAAACAACAATAACCTTAAACAAATTTCGCCATTTACAATAATATTATACACAGGTAAATGAAAATAATTTTGGTGTACATGTATAACAAAGAAGATGTGGTATCATTGCCAATGAGACATCTACGCATTAATGACCAATGAACAAACATGAGAACAGTTATAAATCACATTACGGACAATGACCAAACGTGTTAGCTATAAAAAGTCACAGGGTGACAATATGTGAATCAATTCAAAAGAGAAAACTGACAACTCGATTTACGTCACAACAATAAACGAAAAACAGCAATAAGAGACGGCAACCAACGAAAACCACTGGACAGGCACATCAGTGTCGGGGTTCAACATGCCTTTGAGCGATCAATAATTCTCCTAACCTATGACAGTGGTGTAACAATACAACATAAGAACAAGCTGTAAAAAACAATTGGAAAGGGCTTAACTCATCAGATCGGTACTAAACCCCAAAACAAACAAGAAAAAGACAAAAGAAAAAAAAACCGATATAAGGTAAACTCACAATTACTAAATATAATAGAGAATGGAAACGGGAAATGTGTCAAAGAGACAACAACCCGACCAAAGAGCAGTAAACAGCACAATGCCACCAATGGGTCTTCAACGCAGCGCGAAAATCCCTTTAGCTGGCCCTACACAATATTGTATATTAGTTCAGTTAAATGGACACAACACTAAAATCCGAAACATACAAAATATTTAATAAATCTTTAACAAATCATAGATAACAAAGGCTAGAGGTTCCCGATTGGACAGGTGCAAAAACTAGTTCACGCCCAATCCTATCAAATGCATTTGTAAATCAACATATCGCATCCCATTGAAAATCTCTTTTTTTTACTTTTTTTGGATATTCAAATATTTTGTCCTCCAGCATCACTGAAGAAAACATTAATTGTCGAAAATGCGCATCTGGTTCATTAAAAATGGTACCATTTATGCTATTCTGAAATCTTCTGATCTGCGCCCCATGGGAGGAATAAAAATAGTAGACATTCCATTGAAAAATTGTATCCAACTTTTTTAAGATGCATCTGTTTGGTTGAAATTTTGAGAGTGACTATGCAGCTGTCAAAGAGAAGCACCATTCAGAGAAAATGCTGTATCATATTCTAACAGTCTTGTAAGTTTTACGATGAAAGGTTAAGGCGAGTTGATGCAATCAAAATTTGAAAATTGTGTAATTTTTACTTTGTTCGTCAGTTAGTGATATTCGTCGGAGAAAGAGACATAACTCAGATCTATATTGGTAAAATCCTTATGTGTGGTTCTATTTGTTTCAAGTACCCAATACAAAAAAAATCAAAATTTGATGCCTTTATGGTATTCCAAATATGAAGATCAGAATGATACATTTTGTATAGTCTTTATTTATTTACAGTTGGAATGACAAAAAATGTATTGAAAGAAATTTATAGGATTTCTCGATTTGTTTTGGTTGAAAGAAAGGTTTCATGATAAGAAATTTATGAACCAAATTGGTCAAATTAAGTCAAATATTTCATGTATGATCATAATGAGTTTTTTGAATAGGTGAAATATTTGGTGGTTGTATTTCATCACAAGGTCCATTGAGCATTTTATGCATTTGGCAAACGAAAGATAAATTTTCTATCATATATGCAATGGTAGATCAAATCAATTTCGTTTACTAGTACTTTTTAAATTTTGTATTAAGATTACTTGGTTGATCTTACTGCTTGCATGTGAACTGCAAATCGCCGAGATAACTGGATTGATACAAGCTATTTCTTAAAAATGTAAAATAAGTTATACTCTAAAAACATTCTTCCAATGAACTGGTACAATGTATTTTTCTTAGCAGGATTTGTCATTTATGGAGTGTACATTTCTCAGTTGGTTCGATGTATAAAATTGAGAATGGAAATGGGGAATGTGTCAAAGAGACAACAACCCGACCAAAGAGCAGAAAACAGCCGACGGCCACCAATGGGTCTTCAACACAGCGAGAACATCCCGCACCCGGAGGCGGGCTTCAGCTGGCCCCTAAACAAAAATGTATACTAGTTCACACTATACTCCAAAACATATAAATGAACAAAAATTAAAAAACATACAAGACTAACAAAGGCCAGAGGCTCCTGAATTGGGACAGGCGCAAAAATGCGGCGGGGTTAAACATGTTTTGTGAGATCTCAACCCTCCCCCTATACATCTAGCCAATGTAGAATAAACAAACACACAGCAATACGCACAGTAAAACTCAGTTTAAAAGAAGTCCGAGTCCGATGTTAGAATAGGTAACAAAAGAAACTAAGCAAAATGACAATGATACATAAATTAACAAAGGACTACTAGAAGTTACTGACATGCCAGCTCCAGACCTCAATTAAACTGATTAAAAGATTAAGTTTTTATCATATGAAAATCATGCACAAATCTCCCCATTAGGGGTTTAGTATCATACCATCATAAAATATATGAGAAGAACATAACCCGTATCATGCCAACAATTGGTTTGCAGTGACATCTCAGATTTCAAGAACGTAATATTTTATTATTTAAAGCATTTTACAGCTTGGATAAAGATATATTACTATATGGAATCGACTGTTAAGTACTTCCATCGGTTTTAGTGTGTATCGTTATATAAATTATTAACAAGTTAAAAAAATCTCTTTGCATTCAATAACTGCTAGCATTATTTGATACGGAATTATTTTTAATAAAACTTAAGCCTGATATCTGTGATGAGTTTATTTCACTGATCGAAATTAAAAAGGCGGAAACCGGGTTAAGATCCAAAGAAATTAGTTTCATCCCACCACCATTTGGTTGTCTTAATTAGTTAATAAAACCTTGTAAAGTTTTCATTTTCATCCTTATTCTATTTTCTAAATTTTCATTGTCCTTAAGTTTCCCTTGTTATTTGAAGAGTTTTGAGTTGATGGCAGATTGTACATGTAACTATTCCTTATTAATTATATCAGAGGCATACACTAGTATACATTTTGTATTATCATTTGCACAACTCATTCCATGGAGATGATATAGCCCACTTCCTCATCACGGTTCACTGACTTTGAAACCTTTTCATAGTTGACATGTTAAGGTTTGTGATTATGAACCACTTATAATAAGTCAATGGTATTTTGGTAATAGTTATCACAACGTTGGCATTTCTCATTTACACAGATGTTATTTGGTCCTGCACTTTTAGTTATGGTTCATTGACTTTGACGGTAAAATAAATGAACATGTTTAAGCATTGCCATTTTGATTTAAACATCAAAATTACACAAAGGTTAGACATATATATCTCTGTTTGAACAGTTTATTTGTGCATATTATTTTGAAAACCAGCAGATAGAACCTATAAACATTAAAAAATGATTATCATGTTGTACTGTTACACCACTGTCTAAAGTAAGGGGAGGGTTGACGCCTTCAAACACGTTTAACCCAGCCACATTCTGTATGTGCCTAACCCGAATCAGGAGCCTGTTGTTCGGTGGTTGTCGATGGTTCATGTGCTTCATGTTTGTTTTTTTATAAATTGTTTGTTATAAATTATGCCGTTAGTGTTCTCAGTTGAATTGTTTCATATTTTTCATGTCAGAGTCTTTTAAAGCCGAATCAAATGTGTGCCTTGGGGTTTTCTCGTTGTTGAAGGCTGTACGGTTGCCTATAATTGCTTACATCCACTTCATTTAAACTTTGATGGATAGTTTTCTTATTGGCAATCATAACACATCTCCTTATTTTTATATCAAGGCAAGATATGCAAACATTTTAATTATTGAAGTTATGATATCAAATTACTGCTTATTGGAGATTATATATAATTATATTGCCCTTAAATGACTAAGTATTTTTATTTTTAATTTTAAATTTATTTCAGAGAATTTTCCTCAGTAAAAAAATGAAAAACAATTTAGACCTTTTTCAGCATTCTGGCTTATGATCTTAAAAACTATACTGTTGTTTGCTTGTTGTCCAGTGGCAATTATTTCAAGCAATTATTTCAAGCATTTTCATGATGATTGTAAACCGTATGATATTTAGAAATTGTGGACTGCAAAAATGATGAGCAGTAGAAGATCTACCATGTTTACAAAGATCAATTGTTGACAATATATTGACCGGTTTATGTCATTTGGATTTTGTGTCGTTTTGGTTATTCCCTCTTGGATGTATATGCCATGTCTCCTTTTATATTATATACATGTATATAGAATAATTGTCAATTTTATCTTGAAAACTTTAGAAGTCAGGGGAAATCTCTGCCTAAATAAATTACTGATCCTTTGTCAACACTT